GTGGCAGTTCGCAAAATCGATTCCGGCGTTGCTCGCGAAAATACCGTTGCGCGCAATTACGTCGGACAATGCCGCGGACCGACGATAGAATTACCAATTAGGGATCGTCACGGTTAAATACAATGGCCAACGACAACGACTCTGTAATTTATCCCCGGTTTCGGGCCACCGTAGTTCGCTCGTTGTTCCAGAACGCCGGAAGAGAGCATCGTTGTACCTCCCCCGCGTTCCGAGCAACGACAATTAATACTGTACACCCGCGGCCCGTTTAATCGGGATCGACCATTAAATGCGTAAATTTCGACAAATGGAAATTTCGTGTTAATCCCGACTACGCGCGGCCGTTCTTATCAAACGCGTACCTTAGATTCAAGACACCGGTTCGAGTCTTTTTCCATTGTGATCCGCCGCAAGCGTTTTCCGTATCGTTACACGGTGCTGAAGCAGATCCGACGGCCATGTTTACTACTGTGAGCACTTAATTCTTGTAATTGTAAGATTGCGATAAAACCTTCATCGCATTTTTTCAACTTAAGATCATTCCCTTTTACTTGCAATCCAAATACGTGACAACTCTTGTACTGTTACTTCGTATCGCTGTCTACTTATGAAAATCAATTATGATCTATATAAAAGGAAAGATAAGAAAAGAAAAGAAAACTGCTTTATAATCAATCTTCCAAAAGAGTAATGAATACATTTCAGTGAAGTTTCAGGTATCAATTTTTTCGAATTAACTTACAGTTTTAAATTGCCGGATTCCACGACGAAATATGCGACCTCCGCGGTCGTTTAAAACCGTTTCCGCTTCAATTAGCGTCGGATCGTAGTTCGAAAACAAATTTTCCTAGTGCCGGGTGAAAAAGGCGCGTTCATAAATCTGTTCCCAGCGGCGTACAGCACCGGACCGTCTAACAGGTGCGCCCATATCGCTTATCAGTCGGCGATCGGCAACGGCGCGCGCTGCCCGAACGAACGAACGCGTTTGATCTAGTCGCGCACTGTCATCCTCGCCACGTTCCATTTGTCGGTCGCGCACGGTTTACCGGGTGGCTCGTTAATTCGGGATCAATTAGCGCGTCACGGCGTGTCACCGCGGCCGCGCGCGATCCTGCCCTCGCATATCTCTCCGGTCACGTAAATTTTACTAATTACGCCGACGTCTCGCTTTCACCCCGAAATCGATTCACCCGTGAACGTCCCTCCCGTTCTTTGTGTGTACGTCCCATCTTTTTTCCTCATATTTTTTTTCTTTCTCCTCGTTGTTGCATAATTCCGGCATGGATCGTCAACGAAAAAATTTGTCGAATGCTCGCAACTGATGCTCGAATTTATTCATGAGCGAATTTACGATTCGACACGTAGCTCGCGGCGAAATGTTTGCGCGCGCGGGGAGGTGAAAACTTTGTTCAATTATCGGCCCTGTCAGCGCGTAATCCACTATATATTTTAATAAACTCGTAACGTAATTGAAATTCAGAAAAAGCCTTCCATGTGTCCGGGTTTCGTCTTTTTTTTGTTCGAACGGTGGTAGGTGGTGAGGAATGAGGGCAAATGTTATTGAACCAACACAGTGTACATTAAATATTCAATTTGAAGGGTTTAATTAAATTTCCGTCCGAAGTGACTATCGAATTTCAGGAATAAATGACCAAAACACGGTACATCGGACCCTTTAAAAATTCAAGTGCGATTGTAATTGATTGAAAGATTGAAAGTTGCACCACGATCGTACGTTACAAGCATTCGACTTTAAACAAACTACTTGCGCGCAGCTATCATTAACAGTACTGTATCCCCATTTCCCAAAGGATCACTTGATACCAATTAATTTTTTATAATACGATGTTAAAGCATAAAAAGGGATCTTTTTCTTCGCGTGATTATTTACGGGATCCTTCTAATAAACTAAATCCTGCGTTCAAGTTAATTCCGTTCTATAATTTTTAACAATAATTACGACATCGAAAGAGAACGCGCAACAAGTTTTTCATCTATTATTCTTTAATCGAGATTAAATCTAGTGAACAATTCAGCGTACTGCTGTTTCCGATACGCGAACACCTGGAAGAGGCACCGAGTGGAATTCGAGGACAGGAAAATAACAGAGAAGGAACGAGCATGTATTTTTAATTCGATTTAATCGGTGGCAACATGTAAGCGGGTTACATAGATTATATCGACCACTTATTGTGAGACACTGGGATATACGCATACCTTCCGAGTCTGTCTACACGTGAGAGCATAACATATACACATACGTATACACACACGTGCCCGTGTCGTACACTATGCACGCGAACGTGTATGTACACAGATTTGTCCGTACGCTTGTACAATAATTACGAATATACAGTGTGAGATCGTTTCGTATTCACGCGGCCATGCGCACTGATACATACAGAATAATATATAGAATCTTCGCGCGGCAATTAACGTTATCTCGTATGATACATATACACATCACGACCAGTCCTATTTACAGCTATATACACAGAGAAATAAATAATTTAAGCGTCTAATCGATAATGATCGGTAGAATCGAGACCCAGACTATTAGAATCGTGTCTACGCAACGCACACTTCTCAAACACGAAAATCCTCAATTCGAGTCCATCTCAAAACCAAAATACCGATCATCGAGTCACTATCATAATTATCTAGCAAAAATTTCACTTTCCTGGCGTGCGCGTACGACTTTATCTATTCTACTCTCGAAAACGAGTAGAAAATCGTTTCGCGCAGCTGAAACCAGAAGTCGAATCTTGAAACTGGTCGCGTAGGAATCTCGCGAGATGTACTTTCGACCGTCGCGAAACTCGAATTCCGTGACACGTGGGTTCGCTTTCGGTGTATCGCGGAGGACACAGTCGGCGGGACACGACTTCTTTTAATTACGCGCCGGCCGTCCGGCAGGGCCCGGCCGACGGCCGACGACGGCTGAAAAAGCGACGGGGAAAAAGAAGAGACGAAGTTTCACCCGGCTCTTTCATTTCTCGTCGTTAGTGCGAATGATTGCCGCCGGTCACGATCTCCTCGCCGTCCTCGTCCACGGGCACCGTCGAGTGATTGTACAGTCCTTGGGCCATCAGCTGTAGCGCCAGCGGGTTCTTCTGGCCGCTCGCCTTCTTGATTTTCGCCCTCTTGTTTTGGAACCAGATCTTGATCTGCGCCTCGTTCAACCCCAGGTCCCTGGACAGCTGCTGCCTCCGTCTCTCCGTGAGATATCGATTCTCCGCGAACTCCCGCTTCAGCCTGGCCAATTGTTCAGCGCTGAACGCGGTCCTCGGTCTCTTCTCTTCCGGCGAGCCGCTCTTGCTCGCGCTCGGCGTCCGCTTCACCCTCCGCGTCCTCGGCCCTGCAACAGCATTCCAATTTATACCTCCATTCTGAACCGGGCGAAATAAGTGATATAACCCGCTAATCTTCGAACGGGAGCGATCCGCTCGCCGGATAAGGGCCAGCAAATCCGCGAATTATTATCATACAATAGTGGCTGGCGAGAGGCAGCGGCGCGTTCGGATTTCATGTACGCGCGACCACCGCCCCGTAGATCCTGTATTTCTTTTTAGATAAAAGAAGCAACGACGTTACACGCGGCCACGTAAAGCCCGGCGAGATTTATTGACAACGCGAGAGTTCGGCCAATTTTCCGCGGGACAGGTATGTAAATGGTAATTAAGCGGGGCGGAAAGAGAGGTTTCTTTTGAATCCTTACTTGGCCTCCGCTGTTGGCTATCCGCGAAGTGTGCGTGCGTGCGCGCGCGCGCGCGCACACACGAGTGAGCACTGTCGCCGTTGCTCGCCGGATCATTTTATTTTTCAGCGCACCGCTAGACCCGGTGCTCCCGCGGTTTTATCTGTCCCGGCTATCGGCCGTGCTTAGATTATTACGGTGTATTACCAAATTGGGTGCCCGGCCGGAGGAGACGGAAAAATGTTCCCCGCAGTCGTGACCGCTGGCCCCGGCCAGCCCCGGCGCATGTACACCACGATGAATATTTATAAGTGGCATAACATCGAAACGCCGCCCGCCGCCGCCGCTGCAGCCGCTATCGGCGAACCGGCACGGGATCGCGTTCACTTTCTTAACCGGTCCGTCCGCGGGACAAATCGTTCCTACCGATGAAAATTCTAATGGTGGCTTCCTGCGGACGCCACCCCAACAGTGATTGATCGGAGCGGAGAGTAGTCAACGACAGAATACTACCCGTGTGTAATAATAAGAATGCGAATTTCAAGTATAGCTTAATTTCAAGTATAGTATATACACGTAAGTTTATAAAATATAAAAATGAATGCACAATAACAGAAGTTAAAGTAAAAAATCGTTTAATCGCGAAGGATTGTTTCTACAAGTCTACGCAAAGATTTCATCGATTAATAGTACCCAGTAAATTCGTAAAATATTAATGACCTTCAAATGGAGCAAACATTCCATCCACTCTATTTTTCTTTAGCTCCACAATCACCCCCCGCGGATGCATATCACTCATCTTGTCTCGCTAAAATCACAAAATTTCTTCTCGATGCTCGATCCCTTGTCTGCCGCTCCGATCGATCACCCTTCTCTTTAATTAAAGAAGACACGGATCGCGATTGGTGGTAATTAGCAACACGATCATCAGCTGTAGGACCACCCTAGACGCGCAGGACCTCGGATACGCGATATCTAGGACAGAACGATAGCTTACGAAGGGTAGATAGCGGATATAAGTTCGCGGGCAATTAGGT